CACAGTGGACAACTAATTATTTTCCCAAAAAGCAGAACTCTGCTGACCCTGCAAAACTAGGATTCGTTGAGCCTTTGGCCTCTTCCCTTAAGAAAGCTGAGCACGCTTCGTTGTAGCACAAACCCACCAACCAAACAAACAAGAGTCCCGATGCTCAAAGGACCTGAAAGCTCTCCCAACCCCCGACTCCGCAGTTGCGGGTGGTGCATGAACGTTGAAAAAAGGATAAAAGAGGGCTCCCCACTCCTGCTAAACTGTCTCTGGCGCCTCATCCACTTCCACCGCCGTGGCCGGTGCGGCCTGGGCCCAAGCACATTCTGAGAGGCGGTAGCCATCGGAATAGTGACAGTACGCTAACAGTAGTAATGAAGGTAAGAACAAAAGCAAGAACAAGAAGCAGACATTCTTAGACATGATGGTAGAAGTAAGGATAAGAAGAAGAATCAGAAGAGGAAGAATAAGAAGATTATCGAGACTAAGAAGAATAAGAAGAAGAAATACAGGAAACAGAATAATGAGAAGAATAAGAAGAGTAAGAGGCAAAACAGAATACGAACAAAGTGAAGGGAGAATAAGAGCAACAATAAGGATGCGCATAAAATGCAGATCATAAAAACAAAAACAATACCAATAAAAAGGTAAAAGACATTTACTCCCGCTGCTGCTTCCTCCTCCTCTCCTCCTCCTCCTCCTCCTCCTCCTCCTCCTCCTCCTCCTCCTCCTCCTCCTCCTCCTCCTGCTGCTCCTGCTCCTGCTCCTGCTCCTGCTCCTGCTCCTGCTCCTGCTCCTGCTCCTGCTCCTGCTCCTGCTCCTGCCCCTGCTCCTGCTCCTGCTCCTGCTCCTGCTCCTGCTCCTGCTCCTGCTCCTGCTCCTGCTCCTGCTCCTGCTCCTGCTCCTGCTCCTACTCCTGCTCCTGCTCCTGCTCCTGCTCCTGCTCCTGCTCCTGCTCCTGCTCCTGCTCCTGCTCCTGCTCCTGCTCCTGCTCCTGCTCCTGCTCCTGCTCCTGCTCCTGCTCCTGCTCCTGCTCCTGCTCCTGCTCCTGCTCCTGCTCCTGCTCATGCTCCTGCTCCTGCTCCTGCTCCTGCTCCTGCTCCTGCTCCTGCTCCTGCTCCTGCTCCTGCTCCTGCTCCTGCTCCTGCTCCTGCTCCTGCTCCTGCTCCTGCTCCTGCTCCTGCTCCTGCTCCTGCTCCTGCTCCTGCTCCTGCTCCTGCCCCTGCTGCTCCTGCTCCTGCTCCTGCTCCTGCTCCTGCTCCTGCTCCTGCTCCTGCTCCTGCTCCTGCTCCTGCTCCTGCTCCTGCTCCTGCTCCTGCTCCTGCTCCTGCTCCTGCTCCTGCTCCTGCTCCTGCTCCTGCTCCTGCTCCTGCTCCTGCTCCTGCTCCTGCTCCTGCTCCTGCTCATGCTCCTGCTCCTGCTCCTGCTCCTGCTCCTGCTCCTGCTCCTGCTCCTGCTCCTGCTCCTGCTCCTGCTCCTGCTCCTGCTCCTGCTCCTGCTCCTGCTCCTGCTCCTGCTCCTGCTCCTGCTCCTGCTCCTGCTCCTGCTCCTGCTCCTGCTCCTGCGCCTGCTCCTGCATCCTGCGCTCCTGCTCCTGCTCCTGCTCCTGCTCCTGCTCCTCCTGCTCCTGCTCCTGCTCCTGCTCCTGCCCTCTCCTGCTCCTCCTGCTCCTGCTCCTGCTCCTGCTCCTGCTCCTGCTCCTGCTCCTGCTCCTGCTCCTCCTGCTCCTGCTCCTGCTCCTGCTCCTCCCTGCCCTGCTCCTGCTCCTGCCTGCTCCTCCTCCTCCTCCTCCTCCCCTCCTCCTCCTCCTCCTCCTCCTCTCCTCCTCCTCCTCCTCCTCCTCCTCCTCCTCCTCCGTCCTCCGCCTTCCTCCTCCTCCTCCTCCTCCTCCTCCTCCTCCTCCTCCTCCTCCTCCTCCTCCTCCTCCTCCTCCTCCTCCTCCTCCTCCTCCTCCTCGTCCTCGTGCTACTACTAGGCTTACTTACTACTAGGCTTACTACTAGCCTAACAACCTGCTTCTACTACTACTCCAAAATGACCCCGAAAAGCACTCGATAACCAGCATTCCAAGACCACTTCGAGAGTACTACAAGGCCCCAAAAAGCGGCAACAGTTCTGCACTTTTCGGGAGGAGCCCCAAAGTGCAAGCACCGTTGGGGGAATGATGTGCCCGAGGCGCGTTTACGAAAATGTTTTCCAGGGCCCGGGCAAAGCGTGGAACCACCTCCGCAGCGAAGCGCGCCCTCGCTGCCTGAGGCGAGCTTCCGCCATGCTGCTAACGGGCCCCGAGCCCAACATAAGCCCCCGTCCCAAACCCTGAACCCTCAACCCCCATAGAACCTGAACCCATTACTCGCCCACATCTGAACTTTGCACTCCCTGTGAGTGACAAACAGGGTTCAAGAACACCCCCCCGCTTTATGCTTGGGGTCTGCTGGGGTTCGCGAATCCCACCCCCTTGCACCCTTAAACGCCTAGTACCTTGGGGCCTACGCGGCCCTGAACACTGGCCCTTAAGGACGGCCAAGGGCTTTGGGGACTGGTCCCAGAGCTGCTCAAAAAGTCTTGGGTTTTGCGGGAGCAGAGTGGGACAGGAGCTACAAGGAGCCCCCCGCTCAAACCTTGGCTGCCGAGATTGCAGCTTGGAAGCTACTACGCTTCTACGCTTCCATCCAGCTGCTGTCCACCCCCCCCCCCCCGACCCCCCTCGGCCTGTTCTTGACTCTTGTCTAGGGGGCTTTCAAAAACCCGAACCCATTCAAAACCCAAACCCAACCAAACAAGCACGCCCCTGGAGCCCCCTTGCTTCTGACGGGCGGCATCATAGCGCTCGAGGAGGCCGACGACCTTCCTCAGGGCAGTAGCCGCCCTAAACCCAGGCTTTGCAGACTGCTATCGTGCCATTTGCTAGGTTTTCGGCTTTTGGGGGCCGTTCCCGCTGTAGAAGCAGACCAATCACGTCAACAAGCTTTGGCCCTCGTCCCCCCCGGTGTGACCCACCTGAAACTGGCCCTGTGTCAGGGCCCCTCCGGCACGCCTCTGGAACCCCCCTCGGACCCCCTTGTCTGATCTACCGCCACCTCCTGAAGCCCTCGAACCTCCTGAACTCATCACGTGCGCGGCGCTGCACAATATCTTCGGTTTTCCTTCGTCTGCACACTACACCCCGCGTACACAAGCGGTTTCAATAAGAGTTAAGTGCTGTGCTCACGGCAGCAAGCCCCGCGTCAACCACCTGAACCCCAACCCAAATTCTCAAGTAAGCGTCTCCAGCATGCGTTGTCCATAGGTGGCCGTACCTGGTGAGCATGAGTCTGAGGTTTCGCAGCCAACAGGTTCAGAGCCTGCCTAAGAACTAGGGGCCAGCCCTCACCCAGACGGGTACCTCGCGAAACCTTCTTTCAACAATCTTCAATAATCCTCAAAGACTTTGCACTTGCTGAGCCTCAAAAAGGCCCAGAGCCCACAGCTCAGCTCGCGGCCGTGCACCTGGGATCCTTGATCCTCCCCTGCGCAACCTCCCCAAAAGGCTTTGGAGAAGATCCCCCGAAACCGATTTGCCAAGCAGCTCTGGAGGTGCTGGAGACGGCAGGAGAGCGCCTCAACAGGCGTCATGACAAAGAACCCTTGAAGGGTTCGAAGGGTCCCAAGCAAGGGTCCCCCCCAAGCCCAGGGGAACTCTCGACTCCTTTCAGACTCGGCCTTGCAGGGCATGGCAGGGTGCACCCTGGACCGGCCTCCGCCGGCGGTGCCTCCTCACTCCGGGTGCGACCCGCCAGCCAGCTCTGCAGCCTGCATAACGGATTCCCTCGACATTGAGGGCCTTAAAGGGGCTGAGAAAGGTCTTACAGGTTTCGAGCTTAGAGGTTCAAGAGCTCGAGGCGTGAGCTGGACAGTCCTTTCTAGAAAGCTTCAACTGCAGCCAGGTGGCTCGGCGAGCTCCGTGTGAGCCTCGATCTTTCGGCGCATCTTGGCGCAGAGGTCACTCAGAAGGTCGAGCCTCGGCATTGGCGACGGCTTTAGCGGGCGCACATATCGGGCCGCGCGGCACATAGACACAAATGAGCCCGCCCAGTCTCCCGTAAGGCTCTGAGAAATTCGAAGGGCCGAAACCAGCCTCGAAACAAGCAACGCACGTGGCAGCAAAAACAAAAAGAAACACAAAACAGGACTCCGATGCGGTGATGTGGGAAACTGAGCTTCATTTGCTAGGCCTTATAAGGGTTGTTGGCGTTGGGGGGAGGATGACGACTGCTAAGAGTTCACAGAGGGTCCGGGGATGCAGCTTACTTTTGAATTCCAAGATCTCCGGGCTCTGTGGATGCAAGCTCTTCAAGTTTCAAGGGGATTCTTGTGGCCTTATTCCTTGTCCCTAAGCTGAGCCGAAGCCTGAAGCTCAAAAATAAGCATTTTACTTCGAACATCCCCACCCTACCTTAGTAGAGATACTCCAGGGTTGGGCACTGCAAGGAAGATCCGGGGCTGGGCACTCCGGGGACACTCTGGGGTTGGGCACTCCGGGCACTCCAGGGAGAATGGGGTTGGGCACTCCAGGGAGACTGTGGGGTTGCGCACTCCAGGGAGACTCTGCGTTGAACACACCAGCGAGACTCCGAGTTGGGCACTCTAGGGAGACTTTGGGGCTGGGCACTCCGGGGAGACTCTGGGGTTGCGCACTCCAGGGAGGGGTTGAACACAATATAGGGAGACTCTGAGGTTGGGCACTCCAGGGAAACTTTGGGGCTGGGCACTTGCCTGGTTGAACGCACCAGGGAGACTCTGAGTTGGACTCTCTATTTGGGCACTCCAGGCAGACTTTGGGGCTGGGCACTCCGGGGGACACTTTGGGTTGGGCACTCTAGGGAGACTCTGGGCACTCCAGGGAGACAGGGACACCACTCCAGGGATGACCAAGGAGTAGACCGGGCGAGGAGAAGAGTTCCGGGCGAGGAGCAGAGTTGAGTTTAAAATCTAACAACCCCACACCGAGGGTGGGGAAAAAGCAAAACTCAAACAGCAAGGCCGCGGGGCCGGTCTTCGGCATCGGCGAAGGCCTGTCGCTGAGGCTCCTTCCAGACGTCTAGCTTTGCATCAACCTGTGAGCCCCAAACCTTGGGCTCCTCAACCCGACGGCCCCTACTGGAGTCTGAAGTGCAGGGAGCGGGGGAGGCAGCTTGCAACGGCGGGTCTCCGAGATGTCGCGCTCGGCGGCGCTGGTGGAGGCGAGGAGCACCCAATCTGCAGCCTGAGGGGGGGCGGGGGGTCTCAATTCCTAAATGCTCTTCAAAGAGCCCTAGACCCTCAACCCGAAACCGAGAGCTGGTGGCTTCCAGCTCCCTCCATGCCTCGTCGGAAGGAGGCGCCAGCTCGTCAAGACGGGCCTGGTGTCAGGTTGCCAGGTTGCTCCAGGCACTTGTTTTACTCTCTTCATGTTGAACTGCGTCTACTCCAAGATGTGCTTCCTTTCTGAAAGAAAAAAACTGATTTAAGCACATTCATGCAAACCTATGAAGGGCGCTAGGCCAAGCCCATCACCATGCTCCCTCAAGCTTCGTCTTGCTTCTCATCCGATGCACACATCCTACTCCAAGCCTGACCAGGTAGCCCTGACAAGTCTTGCTTCAGAGGCCCGGGGGGGGGGGGGCTGGTTTACTACTTTCCGGAAGGCAACTTCCTTCGCCTCCAGCTCCTCCAGCGCCTGGCTTGCACGCTGGAACTCCGTGGAGGCCATGGCCGGGCAAGAGGGCAGAGGGCAGAGGGCAGAGGGCAGAGGGCTCCAAGGGTTCAAAGTAGTTTGGAAGGGCTCTTTGGAGACTCTTGGGGTTTCCAGCCGCTTTGTGTGTTGCCATCCGGGCACTTGTGGCAGGTAGACATTTGCGGGGGTGGAATTTTGGAGCTGGGTTGCTTGGGCTGCGTGTCTGGTGCGTCTCTTGGTTGGTTGGGATTTGTCCATGTTGGGACAGGGGCCATGTCATCATGAGGACTACATTTTCGAGGGCCTTGCATAAGACCTGCTTGGGTGAAGAAATTAGATGGCATCGAAATGGGCTCTATCTCACATCACTGGATACGCACACTTTGGCCCATTGGTGCGGCTGGGCGCAGGCAACAAGTCGAATAGCCACCAGCGCCTTGCTTCTAGGATTCCGAGGCCCGTAAGCGCGACTTTTTTGCTGGGCCTCACATGGGTCCGAAGTAGCAGCAGATGTCACCACCAAAGTAGCAACATGGGAGCCCCTCCGACCTCCTAACTCAGCAGAAGGAACCCTGACACCGCGAAGCCGCAAACGCAAACGTGCGCTCCAATGGCCAATTGTGTGTGGGAAATGAGCACCTCTTACTTGCTTGCTTGCTTGCACGCGTGCACACACACACACACAGCCAGACACGCATCTCAGTGACCCTTTTTCCACCAGCTGGGAGGGGTTCGGTCTTCAAGCCCTTCTCCGGCAGAGGCCACCTCCAGATGCATCGCGGCTTGGTCCACAGGAACGCCCCGTGGAATGTCGCGAGACCAGTCCTTCTCAGGTCTGGCTATGTCTCTACGCGTTCGTCGGCGCGTCCTTGCAGTGTCCTCGCAGTAGGCCTTCCGGATAAGATCACAGGGAACTTGCCATGTGGTGCACCTTACCATCTTGGACATCTGCAGCTGCAAATCTTGCTTGAACCCCTGACGGCCTTCTGGCAGGCTGGGCGTCAAGAGCCCTGTGGCGGGATGGCTGCGGGGTTGGGATGTCTAAGGGGCTCCTGAGACCTGTACGAAATACGACCCCGTCTGCAAACTTTTTTGAACCTCGAGGTACCTCAGAAGCCAGTGGACTCCAAATTGCGGCTACAGCGCCTGCTGATTACACTGTTTTACGGAGCAGGCTCTATAAGCTCATATTGGTTGGGTTTGTTTTGCCGTTGTTTGGTGAGTGCCCTTAGTGTATGCATGGGGTGTCCCTCTGAAGACGACATGGTTTCTATACTTGCAAGCACAATCGCCGAGGAACTCTATCTGTTTCCCAAAAGTGAGACGGCTAACATCATCTTTTTCAAGCATTCTCCCAATGCTTCTGTCCAACAAAGGGAGATGTTCAGAACCCAGCAGCAAAGAAAACATGATCTCATGTGCTTGTTAGACACCCAATGTTTCACGTTATCAAAGCCATGTTTTTGAGTTTTGGGGCGTGCAACGCTGTATCTCAGTGATGCATGTTGAGAAAACATGAGGCTTCGAGATTGAATTTCTGTTGTGTTTTTGCACGGACTTCTCGCTTCTTTCCCCCAACGGCCTTTTTTGCTCCGTCGCCGGTGCGTTATAAAAGGCATGCTGCATGTAGCGGTTAAAAGGCTCTGCTAGCACATCCCCGGCCACCACCATCATGAGCTGGGCCTTCAACTTCGCCTCCTTGTGAAGCTCGCGCAGTGGCAGGTACTGAGCGCAAAGGGGAGCAAGCAGCAGAGAGCTGTGTAGCGGGGCTTCAGGCCTTGATGGAGTTTAGGGCAGCTCGATGCACTCGGGCACAGAAAGCGCCAAAGTAGACTTTCAGATAAACGTCTGAATTATATGAAAAAACCTGATAACTAGATATAAATAGCAGCATCAGTCTCTCTAAGTCCACCCGTTTCCCTTACATTTTCCCGTCCCTGTCTAGGGCCCTTCAATTTCAAAAAGGCAAGGCGCCACAGTGACGCCGATCAGCCCGACGACCACAAGCAAGTAGGCCGCACCTTTGACGCAGGCAGGGGCTCTGAAAAGACCAAGAAAGCTCCTGCAGACCAGTGGCCTTGCGCCTCTTTTTCTTTTAGTAATTGCGCACTTGCGACTATCCTAGCCTCTTCGATGCTGGGAAAGAGCCCTGCAACATGAACCCCAGCGGCCTGTGCAACTTGCTCCTGCCTCCCTTTCACTCTACGTAGGATACTGGCTCTGGGCTTCGCACCGCACAGCATGTTGTAGGTCGAATCTTCCATGTTGGGTTTGGGTAGTTTGGATTTGCTCAGCGTAGGACCGTGTAACAGCGGCAAAGCTTGCGTTGTGGCTTTGTAAGGGATCGATCGTTGTTTGCACCGTGCGGCAAATGCCATGTCTCCACGGCTTCTGTCGTGTTGCCCGACACATGCACCATACCTTGGAAATTGCTGCACTGCCACGTTATCCATGTTTAAAGGAGCCGAAAACCGCTCTCTGATGCAGTGCGCTACTGGAGCCCGTTTGCTGCCGCATTTCGCTGCTTCTTTCAGATTCCGCTCGTGATACGGTTCTGAACCGAGATGGCAGTTGCAGGCACAGCATAACAATGGCGGCTCTCTGGTGCAGAGGACCTTGTGCATGAGGTGGGAGGTGGGACTGCGCTGCCTTTTTTGCACACGGAGCGGACGGCAGTCCGGGTGATGCAAGGATGCAGGAACACCGCGCTCGACGAGTGGCCTCTGCATAGCTGCATGACAGTGTCTGAAGGCTCCGATGTGGAATCAAAATCCCTCGAAAATTTCGCAAAGTCGTGCCCACAACTCTACAACTCTCTCAAGACCAGAGCACCCTGGAGCTCTGCAGCGCGATGCTCAGCGGGGCGTTGGAGAGCTCTCCTCACCTTAGGCGCCAGCACTCACGGACCAGGCCAAAAACACCCCCAAAAAACGACACCAACTCTCACTCCAGCCATTGGTGCTTCCGGGTTGCCTTGCGAGGAGCCTGTGCAAACACACAAGATTCACAAGACTTCCGCAGAAACAATTCCCACCACGACACGACAGTCGCGGAGCAGTAGAGCAGTTGCAGAAGAGCTCCGTTGAGGCATTGATTGTTCGGTCTGTGTGGTGGGCAACTTGGAAGCGCGCTCAGAACGGTTCATTTCGAGGTGGCAAAGCCGCAGTTCCCTATTCAAACAGTGCTTGCCGAGGTGTTGCATATCACAGTGGTGCAGAGGCTTTACAATGGACAACCTTTACACGCGAATACACTTTGGGAGCCATTTTGTCGGAGGCTTCGACATGCCCAACATGATCTACGAGTCCACGAATCTACATGACATGCTCACATGTACTGCAAACGTTGCGTGTTTGTGTGGCCTCTCTGTTCGGCATTAACGTCATCATCAACTGCGCCTGGCAAGATGCTGAAGAGTTCTTGTGCATGCTTGGTGCATCCGCCGTGCATGCGCCTGCCCGACACAGCACTCAACACGGGGCCTGGTGGGCGGGCAGGAAGCTGAAGCGGGAGTTGCTTCGGAACTGGCATGGCAAGCCTGACCGTTCGGCAAAGAACTAAGAACAACAAACACAAAATAAACACATATTAAAATAAAACACACACACACACAAGAGGGCCCTGTCCCGATCCACTGGATCTTTGCGCTTGTTTCAGGCTTTGGTCATGGTTTCTGTTTGCTCGGTTGGCCAAGGAGCTGCGACCCTGGTCTCATGGCATCCACGGACGGAGGCACCAGGGGCGTCTGTGGTCGGTCTGCAGCCGGCAAAGCTGGTGCAGCTGGTGGCTGCGGGGGCTTCGGAAGTGCTGGCGCCTGTAGCGCCTCAACCGCTCAACTCAACTTTAATTTAATCTTTAGACGGGAAAACAGGTAAACACCTCATAAAGAAAAGGCCAGACCCAGATACGACGAGGCGCCACCGCATCTGAAGCCATCCCTGCGCTGCGGAGGCGCGAGACCTGGTTTAAGTCGTGAGGATCGCTGGTCCTCTCTCTGGGCCTTGGGGGTGGGAGGGGGAGGCCGTTGCTTTGGTTGCTTGGCAAGGCCCGCCGAGGCGGTGGTGGTGGGGGTGGCGCCGCCTTGGCCTGGGTCGGGCTGGGTGGAAGGCACAGCGCGAAGTCGCTGGCCCAGTCCGAGAAAGCTTGGTCGACACGCACCTCGATTTGCTCAGCATTCTCAATCGCCGGGGGCGGAAGAAGTGACACCGCAAGGGGAGGCTTCTTGTCGCGGTCACGTGACCATGGGGGTGGATTCGGGGGCGGCCGCGGTGGGGCAGCCGCATCCATGCTGCGTTTGGGAGGGGGAGGGGGAGGTGGCGTCTTTGGGATGCTGTTCATGCTGGTGGGAGAGTCCTCGATCATATGGGGCACTGCAGACCCAACGATGTCCCGCAGCTCCTGGGCAAAGCTCTGGAAATACTCCTCCTTCTCTTCGGCCTTCTTGGTGGGGTAGAGTGGGCGCGGGATGGCGGGTCCGCTGCTCCCCATGGCCTGCCCCAGCCCAAAGGAGTTGCCTCTTGGGAGATCTGAAGAGGACTGCGCGGCCTGCGCGGACTGCGCGGACTGCGCGGACTGCGCCACATCCTTGGCCCAATCCCAGAAATGCTCCTCACAGAGAAGCAGAGAAGCGAATGCGGGCTCTGGGGAGAATCTTGGAGTCATCTTTGGCCACCTTAATCGTTAGGGTCGCAGGAGGTCTAGGCAAGTGTCAAGCCATGCAATTATTGTGTTTTCAATTCTGATCTCTTCAATTTCAGCCCGGGGCTCCTCGGCATCCTCCTTGGCCTGCTTCACCTCTGTCTCCGTGGAGGGACCCGGAACCTCCTCAGGCTGCGATTCCCACGCCACTTTGGGCTCTCCCTTCCTCTCGAAGGGCTCCATGGCCACCCGAGCTGTGCTCTTCATCGAGTCCGCCATACGCTTGCAGGTCGCCTTCGCGTCAACTGTTGGAACCGCCACTTTCACGTTGCCGGCACGCACCTGCCAGACACACAGGCCGAGGACGACGACGAAGGCAATGGAAGCAACAGTTGTTCCGATCATCATCCCAACATCAGAGGGCACGACTGTGGTAGTCGTGCTGGTGAAGGTTGTGGATGATGTCATGGATACCGTGCGAGTCGAGCTGGTCGTCGTGGGCGCCAGCGGAACTGGCACGTAGACACCCACGTATGCGCCGCCTGCTGTGGTGGCCTCGCACTTGATGGATGTAGCTCCGTAGCTGGTTGGTATGACCCAGGATGTAACGTCCATCGACCAGTCCGGGTCCTGGAGATGGAGTGGGAAGGTTTCTTGGGAGTGCAGCTACTGTAGCGGGATTTTCTGGAATCACCGCCCAGGGCCCAACCCTGGCGCGATAACGGCAAGACTTCAGAACTTCAGGTGCTTGGACACAAGACTTGTCAAAGCTTAGTTTCCATCAACAATCCCTAGGGCCCAGGAGCACTACGAAATGCTACAAGCCATACGAAGCTTTGGCCCTTCCTGGTTTCATTTGGTTTGACAAGACCACTGTACTTAGGGCTCTCGGATGCTCTCGGATGCTCTCCTGCTCCGAAGTGCCCAGCCGAGCACAGATGGGCTCATAAGCGAAGCCCGTGGGTGCCGGGATCAAAGGCAAAGGGGGCCTGAGCCGAGTGTAGCCCCTAAACCCTAAACCCTAAACCCTAAACCCTAGACCTTCAACGCCAAAGCTCTCTTAGCTGAAGGCAAGCTGCAGTGCAAGTGTCAGTTCCACTGGCGGGTCTAGATCCTGCTGCACGACGATATTGTCACACGCTTTGACCTCGAGAACTTTCACGGTTGCATTGGCGAGGACGTACTTGTTGATGCCCAAGCCTCAGACGCAGCTCTCAAGAGTTTCGAAAGATACGAAACAGAAGCAAGCGTCGATTCCACAGCGAATTTGCACACGGACATCGTCGCATGTCTCTGCGAGCTTGGCATGATCTGACGCTCCCTGAACGCTGTAACGGCATCCAAGTCTCTGGTATTCAGGTAGCTGTATGGATTGCCTCAGATGCCCGCGAAGCATCCACCAACACCAAGAAAAGCTCTGCACATGAGCCATCAGTGACACTGACATGGAAGTCAAGCCACTCAGGACCCAGTCTGTCTGCTGGACAGCCAGCGTTTGACAGGTGCTATCATTGCTACTTTGAAGACGTCGGCCAGCAAAGCTTCCAACAGCAGCAGGAGGGATCTGCGCAGAACAGAGGGCCTAATGAGTTAATGGGGGTTGGGTTGGATTTGATCACTGTGGGCACTGCCTGCAGCCCGTCGCCGCCGACGCCGTTTTCCTGTGCGGTGGCGACGCTCTCCTTCTGCACTTTGACTTCCTTGAGACGCAAAATTCTGCGGAGCCCTCATATATCCTATCAAAAGGGAGAAAGCGTGCCTGCTCTGCACTCCCACCTATTGCTCACGCATCCAGAGAAACTTTACTGCATCCAAAGGCGCCAGGCCCTTGCCGCTTTCATCCACAGAGCTCAGCGTGGTGGAGCCACCCACGGGAGTCGTGGCAAGGGCCGCATTTCCCAGCTTCGACGTCTGCAGGGTTTTGCGACTTGCAGACTTTCTTCGCACTCGTGTCCAAACGAAACCATATAACAGACTCTGGCACATTCAGCACGGCAGCTTCCCGACTGTTCGGGCTTTGCGGGGCCCTGCTGCTATGGAGCCACATGAAGATCCTTCTACCAGAAGTACTAGAAAGCTCCCCCGAAAATCGTGCAAGGTGCCATCACAGCCAGCTCCGCCGCACGCACGGTGGATGAAGTCTCATCCAGTTCTGACGAGGCCGCAGAGTAACCTGGTAACGTGGTTCTTAGACTCCTGTTGCTTGCAGTGTCATATGCCAGTGCTACAACACACACACACACATACATACACAAACTTGCTTGCTTGCCTGCCTACTTCCTTTTCACATGTAAAACCAGTTTGCTAGGCTTGTGGTGCTTGCTACACACTATGTACGACCGAGAGGCTGCTGCCAACCGCCGCGATGCTGCCAAGCAGTGCACTGCCTGCAGCAGCGTCCACTCCTGCCAATCCAGAGAGGCAAGATGCAGGATGATGCAGGAAGCGTTCATGAAACGCTCTCTGCAACAATCTGTAAGCCAAACTGCGGCCATGAGCCACTTCTCGAAGCTGGTTCAAACAAAAGGCACCCAGGCTTCTCTGAACAGAGCGCGGGAGACTGCCAACAACGTCTACAGTCTCTACAGCTCAAGGGCCCACGAAGAGTTCAAGAGAACCGGCGTGCCTTCGGCACTGATGGCCGCCTTGGCTTCACATTTTCTCTCGGCCCCTATGTGATAAGCTTCTTGGGGACTCTGAGCACGGGCGGCTTAGGTGAGTTGGGAGTCTGTGCAAGGCTTTCTTTTCTGCCATAAAACCCTAAAGCCCTGAGCTACATTTTCAAGAAAACCCTACCATAAACAGCTTCAAAACGCCTTAGGAGCCTAGAAATATGGCTTTAAGCGTACCACGAGCTGCCTGAAAAGCTTTCAACATATGCACTTGCAAACTTGCAGCCGGGCCGCATCCAGGACGCTCGTCAGAGCCTGGGAGGCCTGGGCCGCCGCCTCCACATCCGCCGTCCCGGACTCGCTTCCGGAGGACAGGACCTCTCAGGGGGGGGAACCGCGGGTTTGTTTCTTCCCGCTCGGAAAACAAGGTCGCTTCCACTTCAGACATTGGGCTCTTTTGAGGGTGCCTTTTTCAGATGCTTTTGAGATGCTTATACTTGACGAGTTCCGGAAGGGCTTCAGGGCATGCGACGCGTAAGGGTGGCGGGGCCTCGTTGAGCACCCCACCGAATCTCTGCAAGCCTCACAGGAGAGCTCCACTTACCACAAAGTGGACAGGGATTTGCGGTTCTGTTCGCATCGCGGGGTTGAAATCTGAGGTGAAACTCCTGCAGCCCCCGAAACCGAAAAAAAAACACCAAAGATCCACCGCGGCTTTCTCCTTTCGAGTCTGAGGCACTCCCAGCATCTGTGTTCACGACAGTGGAGGCCAACTTCAGCGCCTCAGCGCCGCGGGCTTCTCCCAACAAAGAGAGCGGCCTTAAAGGGGCCTTAGGTGGCCTTCGAGGGTGCCCCCTTATTAGGGCGTCTTTAGGCTCTAGGCCCAGGGCCCCCGCCTCCAGCTTCTGGGTCTGCGCCTCCTTCTTGGCCGCCGCCAGCTCCTCCGTGGAGTTCGCAGCCTTCCAAGCACACATCGCAACCCTCCGCTTTACAACCCTAAACCCTAAACCCTAAACCCAAAAGAAGGAGCCCCTGGAAAGGCCAAATGATTTTGCGTGTTGAAACAGAAGGAAACATGGCTAAGAAATTCATTCCGTTGGACCCTTTCAAAGATGTGAGACAAACATGCGTGGTTAACAAATCCATTCCTGTGGGCCCTTCAAGAATTTTCAAGCCAAAACGTCCCCCAAACATCCGCCTGATTGTTTTGCTTATTGGGTCGTGCCCTAGCACGACTCCTCCAATTAATTACTTTGTAACTTTGTACTCCGAATTGTTTTGCATAATATGTTTAACAAATCCAAACCGTTGGACCCGACCAAGAACTTTAAAAAAATATAACGACTAATTATTTTACTTCGAACATCCCCACCCTCTCTGGTAGAGATACTCTGGGGTTGGGCACTCCAGAAACACTCTGGGGTTGGGCGCTCCAGGGACACTCTGGGGTTGGGCACTCCAGGACACTCTACGACTCTACGGCTGGGCACTCCAGGACACTCTACGACTGGGCACTCTGGGGTTGGGCACTCCGGGGATGAGACAGGAGCAGACCAGGCGAGGAGAAGAGTTCCGGGCGAGGAGAAGACTTGAGTAAATCTAACAACCCCAGACGGAGGGTGGGGAACAAATCCATTCCTTTCTCATAACATGACTCCACATGTCCCCCCCCAAACACACATCCTCCTAACTGTTTTGCTTGTTGGAGCGTCCCATAGCATGACTCCTCCTAATTGGCTTGGACTCTTTGCAGTGGACACATGGAAACTCCTTTCTTGGCATCGGCTTGATGGAAACGGACATGTCCGTAACAGAATGGCGCTATCTTCGGATGGACACGGAATTGTCCGTAGCAACAAGGCGTTTGTTTTTCCCGAAAGGTCCGTAACAAAATGGCGCGTGTTCCCACCCTCGGTGTGGGGCTGTTCGATTTTGAACTCAACTCAGCTCCTCGCCCGGAACTCTTCTCCTCGACCGGTCTACTCCTCGCTCACCAACTCTAGAGTCCAGAGCATCCCCAGAGTGCCCAACCCCAGAGTCTCCCCAGAGTCACCGGAATTTTCTGGAGTGCCCAACTCCAGAGTCTCGTGCAGAAAAGCGACATTTTATGACAGGCACTTCCGAGTCGATGTCAACAGAAAAGGCACCATTTTGCGACGGACAAGGCCGTGTCCATCAAGCACATATCATATTTCCAGAAAAACAAAAGCGCCATTTTGTTACGGACAATTCTGTGTCCATCGAGCCTGTGTCAAAAAAACACCCCATATGGAAACTCCTTTCTTGACATGGGCTCGATGGAAACGGAAATGTCTGCAACTGAATGGCGTGTCTTCTTTTCTTTGGACATAGGTTTAATGGACGCGGAACTGTCCGTAACAAAATGGCGCTTTTCTTTTTCACAAGGCTCGATGAACAGCGAAGGTCCGTAACAAAAAGGTGCTTTTCCGTTGAAAGGCACCATTTTGTTACAGACACTTCCATTTCCATCGACTCTATGTCAACACAAAAGGCACCATTTTGTTACGGCAAGTCCGTGTCCATCAAGCACATATCATATTTCCAGAAAAACAAAAGCGCCATTTTGTTACGGACAATTCTGTGTCCATCGAGCCTGTGTCAAAAAACACCGCCATATGGAAACTCCTTTCTTGACATAGGCTCGATGGAAACGGAAATGTCTGTAACAGAATGGTGTGTCTTCTTTTTTCTGGACATAGGTTTAATGGACGCGGAACTGTCCGTAACAAAATGGCGCTTTTCTTTTTCACAAGGCTCGATGAACAGCGAAGGTCCGTAACAAAAAGGTGCTTTTCTGTTGAAAGGCACCATTTTGTTACAGACACTTCCATTTCCATCGACTCTATGTCAACACAAAAGGCACCACTTTGTTACGGCAAGTCCGTGTCCATCAAGCACATATCATATTTCCAGAAAAACAAAAGCGCCATTTTGTTACGGACAATTCTGTGTCCATCGAGCCTGTGTCAAAAAACACCGCCATATGGAAACTCCTTTCTTGACATAGGCTCGATGGAAACGGAAATGTCTGTAACAGAATGGTGTGTCTTCTTTTTTCTGGACATAGGTTTACTGGACGCGGAACTGTCCGTAACAAAATGGCGCTTTTCTTTTTCACAAGGCTCGATGAACAGCGAAGGTCCGTAACAAAAAGGTGCTTTTCCGTTGAAAGGCACCATTTTGTGACAGACACTTCCATTTGCATCGACTCTATGTCAACACAAAAGGCACCATTTTGTTACGGCAAGTCCGTGTCCATCAAGCACATATCATATTTCCAGAAAAACAAAAGCGCCATTTTGTTACGGACAATTCTGTGTCCATCGAGCCTGTGTCAAAAAACACCCCATATGGAAACTCCTTTCTTGACATAGGCTCGATGGAAACGGACATGTCTGCAACTGAATGGCGTGTCTTCTTTTCTTTGGACATAGGTTTAATGGACGCGGAACTGTCCGTAACAAAATCGCGCTTTTCTTTTTCACAAGGCTCGATGAACAGCGAAGGTCCGTAACAAAAAGGTGCTTTTCTGTTGAAAGGCACCATTTTGTTACAGACACTTCCATTTCCATCGACTCTATGTCAACACAAAAGGCACCATTTTGTTACGGCAAGTCCGTGTCCATCAAGCACATATCATATTTCCAGAAAAACAAAAGCGCCATTTTGTTACGGACAATTCTGTGTCCATCGAGCCTGTGTCAAAAAACACCGCCATATGGAAACTCCTTTCTTGACGTAGGCTCGATGGAAACGGAAATGTCTGTAACAGAATGGTGTGTCTTCTTTTTTCTGGACATAGGTTTAATGGACGCGGAACTGTCCGTAACAAAATGGCGCTTTTCTTTTTCACAAGGCTCGATGAACAGCGAAGGTCCGTAACAAAAAGGTGCTTTTCCGTTGAAAGGCACCATTTTGTTACAGGCACTTCCATTTCCATCGACTCTATGTCAACACAAAAGGCACCATTTTGTTACGGCAAGTCCGTGTCCATCAAGCACATATCATATTTCCAGAAAAACAAAAGCGCCATTTTGTTACGGACAATTCTGTGTCCATCGAGCCTGTGTCAAAAAACGCCGCTAAAAGGAAACTCCTTTCTTGACATAGGCTCGATGGAAACGGAAATGTCTGCAACAGAATGGCGTGTCTTCTTTTTTCTGGACATAGGTTGGCCACGGAATTGTAAGGAAAAAATCGCGCTTTTCTTTTTCACAGGGTTCGATGGACACCGAAAGGTCCGTAACTCGATGGATGCGAAAGGCGCCATTTTGTTGCAGACACTTCCGTGTGGGCCTCCCAAGACGCAACCTCAAGAAATCAACCTCTGAGTCCCCCGCGATAGGCACCGACCCCAGCGCATCCAGCATGCCCATGATCACGCCCGCGTCTCCGCTGGCCACGGCATCGTCAATGGCGGCCGCCTGAGCCTCCGCCGTCAGCCCGCCTGCAGGGGAAAGGCCCTGTGGCCCTGTGCAACTGCCCTCCAGCACCCCAAAGCCCTCAGCCTCCACTCCAAGCCTAAGAAAGCCATGCATCTACAGATACAGTTACTATAGACCTGAAGAGCTCCGGCTTGGCTAGCCGAGTTGCGTTTGGGACAGGATGGCAAAGGGAAAGACTGTTTAAGTGCCTTTTGCTTTGGGTGTCTTGTTTTGGGGTGCGGGCGGGGGGTATAGGATGTCGGGTCTGGGGGTAAGGGCGTTGCTTCGGACGTTGCAATGCGTTCTCGGGTTTCGCATGCTGCTTTCGTTTTGGATTGTACTTACGTGGGATTTCGGGTGTTGGCTTTGGGAAATGTTTTGAGAATTGTGTCCAAAAGCGTGGCGGTAAGTAAGGGTAGAGGACGTGAGGTTTGGGAGCCATTCCTACTATAGCTACAAAGCATGACCACTAGAGGGCCCCTTAGGGCCCTTTCCGGCTTCTAAAGAGTTTGGGGGGAGGCCTCGCCTTGTGGGACTTCCACCAGCGGTCCCGGAGAGAAAGCTGCAGAGAGGGCTCCTGAGGAAGAGTCAGAAACAAGGGGGGTGGGGGGCAGTTTGTTGTCCATTTGTTGTTTCCCCAGAAGTACTTGTAGCAATGAGCACAACACCCTCCAATGAAGGGGAGGTACTGTCCCCGCCTTCGGAGTTCGATTTCATGCTTGGCTTTTCGGTTTGTGTGCGGGGACTCCCTACAGTGAGTGGAGCAACCTCCGCGGGTTTCTGAAAGCCTCACACGACCCCTCGACTCTGAGAGTCCTAGTGGATCCCGGACCACCACGGCCGTGAAGTAGTTGCCAGCGGCCATCTCAGAGAAGCGCAAGTGCTTTTAGTTTCTATTACTAGTATCAATATGATTATTCTTCCGATTATTCGTATTCTTATTCCTTATTCTTATTGTTATTCTTACTTTTGTGAAGGCCAGGTCCAACCCACGTAAAGTAAATAAAACGTCGTCCAGTGCAAGTAAGTCACCGAGACCTGCCAGCTTGCATTGGGCTCGGAGACGTTGATCTGAAAGGTTCCGCCAAGCTTGGACCAGTGGACAGGGCTCGTGCTGTCCCGCCAGTCCTGCAAAGAAAAACTGCAAAGAAAAACAATTGAGTGAAGGGAATACCTTTGGCTCTGTGTCTCTTGCACTTTGCGCCACATGTTTATGGTTTGGACTCAGCTGAGTCTCCACGACAGGGGGCTCGAAGACTCCGTCCACCTGGAGACCTGCGGGTCATTCTTCGATTTCTTGGACTGACAACCACTCATACTTGGGTTTCTTTTGGTGCCTCCATCCGGCGTCTTGGACAGGTTCCTGAGTGAACTACAAGGGCAAAGTTTTCAGCTGTAAAGGCACTCAACCACCTGCCACTCAGCTCGACCAGGGCATCTGCCATTGCTTCTGAGTCTCTGTGCCAGCGGAAAGGTGTAGAAGGCATAAGTCAGGCGTCCGAGGTCCTCGTCCACCCAGCCAGCTGTCGAGGCAGAGAAGGACGTCGTGACGGCCGTCCCAAAAAGGGGGCTTGAAGTCACCGTCCCCGAAAGAGGGGGAGCATCTGCGACGAACCTGCTTCAACAAGCTATTTATCAATAATATGCGATGCCACAACATCTTCATACATCTGACTTCTCGCAAGCACGAACTCCATGTTCGTCCTTGCGCGCTTGCTTGCTTCAGACTTCTTGAGCCAGGGAACTCGTTTGAGTACGCCATCTTCACGCCTTCAAGCTCAGCCTGCGCCAGGTCGGCTGCGGGTTGCAGCTGGAATGCATCCATTTCCGCCTGGGCACAAATGCGTACAAATGCTTCCAAGCACATGCACAGCAACATGCACGGCAACATGCACAGCAACATGTTTCACAATGTGTCACACCATTGCTGTCCCCAGGACCGGCGTGCCAAGCTGAAGCAGGGCAATCTCATACGTCGTGCCTGCAGGCAAAGGGCCTACAGCTAAGGTTCGGGGCTTGATGTTTAGGGCTTTAGGCATGATCTCGGGCCGCATAACAACAAGGAGACTTCAGGAACCTCACATTCAACTCTGACCGCTCTCGGTCTCTTTTCTCGGCCTCTCCCCAGCCCCCAACTTGCCAAAGCATCCTTCAGATTCGAAGGAGCCACCACGTCGGAAGCCTAAACTTCTAAGGGCCCTGACAGGGCCCCCTAAAGCGCCCCAAAGAGGCCGGACTGCGCCTTTGACCATGTCGCCACCGCGGAACTCGGAGGACCGCAAAGTCAGCTCACCCGGGCTGTTCCTTTGAAGGGCTTTTCTACACTTTTTTGTCGGCGGCTCCCCAGGATTTCAAGGATCAAAGTGTTACTTTAGCCAACGGAGTTGAAGGATGTTGAAGGTCAAGCCGAGCCGTGGCCTCCGAGGGTTTTAGTGGGCAGGGGCTTGAAGCGAGAAAAGCAGAGAAGAGCTTGCCAGGAATAGCCCAGGTTCGGGTTCGTCTCCAACGCGGTCGAGAGGATTGCGACAATCCGGGATGGAGGCTTCGATTCCTCGGAGGCTTGGCTTTGAAGGCGCTTTCAAAGGCTTTTTTCAAGCGCTTTGGAGGCCTGGCTTCTGGGCACCCATGTGTCCGATTCTGAGACCACGCCGAGGGTCGACAAGAGCCAGCCTCCAGCCGCAGCTCTCTGGCGGGTTGCAACCTGCCAAAGCATTTAAGCAGGTTGTCTGTTTTCTTTTTTCTAGGTTTAGGCTTAAAGTGTGTCACGTGAGGGTGTGCCCTCGTGTCCTGCTAACCCGCTCCGGCCATTCACAGTATCCTTCATTAGGTCTAGGGTTTACCTTCTTTCTCAAGCACCTATGTTTGTTGGTGTTGACCAAATCTGAAAGATCCTTTCCGTGCTGTCAGTTTGTCTGTCTTTCTGTCTTTCTTTCTTTTCCTCGTAGCCTTCTCTCCATCGCTCCTTCTTCATCAGCCAAGTTCCTGTCGTTCCTCGTAACCTTCTGAGACTAGAAGCGAAAATGAACTAAGCAGCATAACAAGCAAGCACACGGTAAACTGACAGGAAAAATGCCCGGTTCAGGAGCTTGAAGAGCTGCCTCTAACTGCTGACCCCCAAACTCTGCAACCATAGCCCAAAGAGCCACGACGCTGAACACTAATCCTCCGAAGGCACTCCCACATTCGATAACCCCTGCTGCTAACCCCTGCTGCCTTCGATTCCGGACACCGTTGCCGAGTAGTCCCCAAGCTCGCCACCCACTTGTGTAGAGACGGCCTGCGGCCATGAGTCTTCAACGTTCTGACCGCGAAAACACAGCTCAGGGGTACCTACAACACCCTCGTCTCTTCCAACCCTCCAGACCCAAGCCCGGCCCAGCCAGCCTGCAAGTTCGTCCATGGAACCACGAAATCCACTCTTGGCAAGGTGGGCGTTGCCTCGGCGGCGCCACAAAAGCAGAAGAGGCCCCCTTAGGGCCTGGGTTTGGGGGTGACGCTTTCGGTTGAAATTTCCGTGCATCAAGCATCAAAAGGGTCATAGATCATAACTAGCGGATCATCACGGCCCGTGCAGCTGGGCTGCTGTTGAGCTTGTCGTCGTTGCCGTCCTCAATTTCAATTCCCAAGCCCTAGAACCCTAGATCCAGAAAAGCCCTAAGTCTAAACTCGGATGCTGAACTCAAAATGGCCAAGAGCTGATGAAGCTCAAGACAGAAGCCGAGAGGAATCGATGGGCCTGAAAGTCTACAGCCTTGCAATCACGACTGCGGCAAAGGCCGAGGCACGTGGCAGTGCTCGATGTGCTCGTGAAGGTGGTGCTTGTGCTGGATGTGCTGGTGGTTGATGATGTTGTCACAGTGGTTGAAGTGGTACCTAGGCCCGAGGGCATGGGACCATGATCTCGACTCCCAAACCCAGCTGAGAAACAGCTCAAAGCCCGAAGTCAGCCGTTCAAAATGTGTGTCCCAGTGCGTGCCCCACATCCCCGATGCTCAAAGCCGCGCGTGCGCGTCCAGAACCTGCGGGGTGACTTCGAGAAGGCAGCCCCAAGATGGGCACAAGCTTCCAGAAAACTCTCCCCCCGAACCGTCACGAGACAACCCCACATCAACTCATCAGCCGCAGCGTGGGTGCTGGAAGACGTGGCGGTGGAGGATGATGAAGTGGATGTGGAGGACGAAGATGTCGTGCTCGTGGTTGACGAGACGGATGTGGAGCTGGAGCTCGAACCTCGGCTTGCCCAGACCTAGAGGGACCTAGGATGGTCTGGGGGCAGCTTAGAGGGCTTGCTACGGGCAGGGGTTTAGTCTGCAATAATGATCTCCTGGGAACTGGTAGAGCTGCTAGTGGTGGAAGTCGTGGTCTTCGTGGTCGAGGTTGTTGTGGAGACTGTCGTACTTGTTGAGGTTGTCGAGGTAATGGTGGAGGTTGAGGAGGTCGTAGATGTGAGCGTCACCGTGGTGGAGGAGCTGCTTGAACTGGAGCTGGAGGTGCTGGTGGAAGTCGCTGTTGTAGATGTCGTGCTTGTGACCGACGTGCTGGTCGAAGTGCTGCTGCTCGTCGTTGACGATGTTGAGGAAGAAGATGTGCTGGAACTGGACGTCGAAGTGCTTGTGGCACTTGTCGTAGAGGTGGAGGACACGCTAGTGCTTGACGTGGTAGAGGAGGTTGAAGAAACTGTGGTTGACGTTGTCGATGTAGACGTGGCCGTCGTACTGGATGAAGATGTTGAACTGCTGCTGCTGGACGTCGAGCTGGAAGAGGTGGAGCTCGTGCTGGTGATCGAAGTGGAGCTAGAGCTTGTGGAGGTCGAAGTGAATGTCGTGCTGGTCGTTGAAGTGGTCGTAGCAGTAGTGCTGGTCGTTGTGCTACTGCTTGAACTTGAACTGGTTGTCGACGAGGTTGAGCTGCTGCTGCTCGTGCTCGTAGAGGACGTGCTGCTAGAACTCGTGCTCGTTGAAGAAGTGGAGGTACTTGTTGAACTTGATGAGGACGTGCTGGTGCTAGATGTGGTTGAAGATGTCGTGCTTGTCTTGGTGGTGCTGGTGCTTGTGCTGGAAGTTGACGATGATGTTGTGGTGCTCGACGACGAGCTCGTTGTCGAAGTCGTCGTGATAGTAGTGCTGGTAGATGATGTGCTTGTGCTCGTGCTGCTTGTTGACGAAGTGGATGTTGACGATGTGGAGCTCGAGGTTGTCGACGTGGTAGTTTTTGTTGTTGATGAGCTACTTGTGCTGGAAGTTGAAGATGATGTGCTAGACGTGGACGTTGAGGATGATGATGTGGAGGTGGATGATGTACTGCTTGTTGAAGTTGAGGTACTGCTAGTGGACGAACTGGAAGTCGAAGTGCTGCTACTGCTGGTACTGGAAGAAGATGTTGAACTTGTGCTTGTTGATGAAGTGCTAGTGCTTGTCGTCGAGGTGGAGCTGCTGGAAGTTGAGGTACTTGATGAACTTGTTGAGGATGTTGACGTGCTTGAAGTGGAGGTCGATGTGGTACTGCTGCTTGATGATGATGTGCTCGTGCTGCTGGTAGATGAGGTGCTTGTGGATGTGCTGCTGGTGCTGGTGCTGGACGATGACGTGCTGGAAGTCGATGTGGAGGATGATGACGTAGATGAGGTTGACGTGCTAGACGTCGACGTGCTGCTGGATGAGGTTGAAGATGTGCTGGTCGATGTGCTCGACGTTGAGGTGGTAGTGGAAGATGTTGAACTTGTTGATGTGCTGCTGGATGACGTTGACGAGGTTGACGTGCTAGACGTCGACGTGCTGCTGGATGAGGTTGAAGTTGTGCTGGTCGATGTGCTCGACGTTGAGGTGCTAGTGGACGACGTTGAACTTGTTGATGTGCTGCTGGATGACGTTGACGAGGTTGACGTGCTAGACGTCGACGTGCTGCTGGATGAGGTTGAAGTTGTGCTGGTCGATGTGCTCGACGTTGAGGTGCTAGTGGACGACGTTGAACTTGTTGATGTGCTGCTGGATGACGTTGACGAGGTTGACGTGCTAGACGTCGACGTGCTGCTGGATGAGGTTGAAGTTGTGCTGGTCGATGTGCTCGACGTTGAGGTGCTAGTGGACGACGTTGAACTTGTTGATGTGCTGCTGGATGACGTTGACGAGGTTGACGTGCTAGACGTCGACGTGCTGCTGGATGAGGTTGAAGTTGTGCTGGTCGATGTGCTCGACGTTGAGGTGCTAGTGGACGACGTTGAACTTGTTGATGTGCTGCTGGATGACGTTGACGAGGTTGACGTGCTAGACGTCGACGTGCTGCTGGATGAGGTTGAAGTTGTGCTGGTCGATGTGCTCGACGTTGAGGTGCTAGTGGACGACGTTGAACTTGTTGATGTGCTGCTGGATGACGTTGACGAAGTGCTAGACGTGACGTGACTGGAACGTGCTTGTTGTGCTGGGATGACGTTGTTGACTGCTAGACGTTGACGTGCTGACGATGTGCTCGACGTTGAGGTGGTATGTTGAACTTGTTGATGTGCTGCTGGATGACGTTGACGAAGTTGACGTGCTAGATGTCGACGTGCTGCTGGATGAGGTTGAAGTTGTGCTGGTCGATGTGCTCGACGTTGAGGTGGTAGTGGAAGATGTTGAGCTCGATGATGTGCTGCTGGATGATGTGGTTGACGAAGATGTTGAACTGGAGGACGTGGACGTGGTACTGCTGCTGGTCGACGAAGTACTTGTCGATGTAGTAGAGGTTGTGGTGCTGGATGTGGAAGTGGTGGATGATGAGGATGTGCTGGTGCTGCTTGTCGAGCTGGAAGACGTGCTTGTTGATGATGTGCTGGTGGAAGATGTTGAGGTTGAGGTAGACGAAGTGGAGGACGAGGAGGTGGAAGTGCTGCTCGTCGAACTGGAGGATGTGCTTGTGGACGACGTGCTTGTGGAGGATGTTGAGGTCGAAGAAGAGGATGTGGAAGTCGAGGATGTGGTACTGCTACTAGTCGAAGTGGAAGAAGTGCTCGTTGATGATGTGCTGGTGGACGAAGTTGAGGTTGAGGTGGAGGACGTAGAGGACGTTGAAGTAGTACTGCTGCTGGTTGAGGATGTGCTTGTGCTGCTACTAGTGGTTGAAGATGTCGAGCTGGAGGTTGTGGATGACGACGAGGTTGATGATGAGGTGCTGCTCGTGGATGTGCTAGTGCTGGATGTGGACGATGTAGAAGTTGATGAGCTCGACGTGCTGGAAGTTGACGTGCTGCTGGACGAAGTTGATGTGCTGGTCGTAGAGGAGCTTGAAGTGGAAGTAGACGTCGTGCTACTGCTGGAAGTGGAAGATGAGGTCGATGATGTGGAGGAGGTGCTCGACGATGTTGACGAGGTCGTTGTCGAAGATGTTGAGGTCGTAGAAGTACTCGAGGATGTGCTGCTGGTTGAGGACGTGCTGCTGCTCGTGGTCGAAGTGGAAGATGTGGAACTTGAAGTTGAAGTAGTGCTGCTTGAAGATGTTGAAGAGGTGCTGCTGCTGGTGGATGAGGTGCCTGCGATCGTCGATCGTGCTGAATTTCGCAGGAAAGCCCTAAACCCGGCAGCACCCCAACGTTTCCGCGCAACAGCTCTCATTCTACACAACTGTTAGCATTTTCGGATTTGGGGCCGGGGGGGGGGGGCGGAGTTGGGCACAAAAATCAGGCAATCAGAGCTTGCGCGATGGCCATGTGCTATGCAAAAAACTTGGAGGTCCGCAACGCGCAGCATTGCGCGCCGCCTTATTTGCTCTTGGGTTACTGACTTGGCTCGTGGAACCGGATGTGGGATGTAGGAATACTGTAGGGCGGTGCTTCGGCTCGCAGCGCTCGCAGCCAAGCTGCTTGTGCTGGATGTGCTGGACGTGCTGCTAGTAGTGCTCGACGATGAAGAGGTCGACGTAGATGAAGTTGAAGACGAGGATGTGCTAGTGCTACTTGTGGAAGAGCTGGAAGTGGACGTAGTGGAGGATGATGTGGAAGTTGACGACGTGCTTGTCGACGACGTTGAAGTCGACGATGTGGACGACGTGCTGCTGCTAGTCGAAGAGGTGCTCGTGCTGCTTGTGGATGATGATGTTGTGGAAGTCGACGAGGAAGACGTTGACGAAGAAGACGTACTGGTAGTGGACGATGATGTGGATGACGTGCTTGTGGATGAAGTGCTGGTTGACGACGAGCTCGTGCTGCTTGTTGATGTTGAGGATGTTGACGTTGATGAGGACGAGGTGCTGCTTGACGATGTAGAGGTCGACGACGTCGAGGTTGACGACGTCGAGGAGGTTGAGGTGGTTGTCGAAGTTGTTGTTGTCGACGAGGTTGTAGTCGAGGTCGTTGTACTCGAAGATGTTGATGTCGAGCTGCTACTCGTGGACGAAGTACTGGTAGACGAAGTGCTGGTGCTGCTTGTGGATGTTGATGAGCTTGACGTGGATGAGGAAGATGTGCTTGTGCTGCTTGAGGAGGTCGAAGACGTCGATGTGGTGCTGCTGCTTGTAGACGACGTGCTCGTGCTGGTCGTGGATGTTGACGAGCTTGATGTGGATGTTGAAGATGTGCTGGTGCTACTTGACGAAGTCGACGATGTCGATGTGCTGCTGCTACTCGTGGACGAGGTGCTTGTGGATGAGGTGCTTGTGCTGCTCGTGGACGTGGACGAGCTTGATGTTGACGTGGAAGATGTACTGGTGCTGCTTGTTGAAGTCGAAGAAGTCGATGTGGTGCTGGTGCTTGTGGATGTTGTGCTCGAAGAGGATGTGCTTGTGCTGGTTGTGGACGTGGACGAACTTGATGTTGACGTTGAAGATGTGCTTGTGCTGCTTGTTGAAGTTGACGATGTCGATGTGGATGAGGTACTTGTGGATGAGGTGCTGGTGCTGCTTGTGGATGTTGATGAGCTCGATGTGGATGTGGAAGACGTACTTGTGCTGGACGAAGAAGTCGATGATGTCGATGTGGTGCTGGTGGTTGTGGCTGTTGTGCTCGTAGAGGATG